CAACTCCCAACAAATCCGAATATTTACTCTTTATTTTCTCGGCTCCTTCATTGTTGGCACTTTGATGCATCAGAAAGATTCGTTTTGAAATTGACTGGATTTGGAACTTTTTTTTATATATAAAACGTGCAACAGTGTTAACCTGTCTGTAGCAATGCTAGATAAAGGCTGGATGACTCTCACCTACACACATGTCCATATAAGGCAATGTTTATGTTTGTTGTGATTAGATAGCGGCTAATTTGTTTAGTTTAGACTGATTATGGATATTGAACGGCAAATGTTAAATTGAAATTTTGCGTTCTGGATAAATTACATGTATTATCATCCTTACGTAAATAGAACTCGATAAAGTATGTTTTACATATCAGGTGTGATAAGTGGGTTTCGCGATTAGGACCGGTGAAATAACAGGAATGTTGATTTCATTCGCTATATTTTGCAATGCGTACAAAAACTGTTAATTTCAGAAGCACTTGAGGCATGAGTGTGGTGGACAGAAGTTGATCCTGAAATTTACACAATATCTGAACGAGAACAGCAGAAACAGAACGATCTATAAAATCACCTCAATAATAACAAGCAACCTCAGTAAACTTGAGCTGAATCGAATCGGGAGTTAAATCAACCGTCAACCGTCTATAACTTAATTTACCGAAATTTCTCCCTTTTTTCCTCAACACTTGCTCATGTTTTGCCAACTTTATTTCTTAAAATACTGTAAATTTAAAATAACTTCAACATAACAAGCTTCGAATCTAAAGTAACTAAAGCCCCTGGTGTGTGTTGGTTTACACGGCATGCATCGATTTGTGCAGTAATACAAGTTTTAATGAAATATTTGCTTGAGGATTAGGTTGTGCTTGACACCTGATCCGTTTTATTCATAAGGAAAAAAGTAATGCGGGGCTGGGCACCCAGGCAGGGCAGCCTTGAATCGAAATTGAGACACATTCTGAACGATTTATGTAACGACATGAGGAGATAAACACCGATACACCTCGACATGCATGTTTGCTTGCATTGAAAGGTGTGGGTTTACACGCTTTCAAATCAAAATGTTTAAGTTTGTTGTGCGCTAGTTTGTCAATTGTTGATATTAATCGGGGATCGGGAAGAGTAAACCAATGGCTTGATTTAGTAAGCGATCACGCAGTCACTTTAGGCGCTTTTGCGGGTAAAAAATTGGAAAATCCCCTAATCTCATCGGAACAGTAAACGTGAAAATCTGTTCTCCGGCTTAAGTAGCCTCTAAGCTTTCCCTAATAAATATTGGCCGATATCTATGCATTGAAAGTGCATATTAAAGTATCTGAAGCAAGACCGGTAAGCGCCCAACGATAAATAAAAACATCTGTTCCGCCATGCTTGTGTTACCGTTTTACGATTTCATTTACCATTGACATTCGTTGGGTTGCTGATGGATGTTTCAGCAGCTGCTGCGGTTTTATCTTCGCTTCTTCAGTTGATAGCCATCGGATTAACAATCACACTCTTCAGTTACTGCATTAATGCACTTCGAGCCGTTAAAAGACTGCAGAATTGAGAGATTATTCAATCGATTTGATGATAAGTCGAGGAGTCACGAGATATTCATTAAAAAATATTCGCACAAAGACCTCCTCTCGTAACTGCTTCACTTGAGTAGCGAATATATTTGCTATGGAAAATCCGGAAAGGGATTAGTGTGGATTAAGTCGAGACCGATAAATCTTGGTGTTTTTGGTCGGATTTTCAAGAGATCACCCAAACAATAACCATTTTTACAATTTTCAACTAGCAAACAAATGATAGCGGATAAACGTGATTTATCACCGATTGCTTGGTTGACACTGTTCCCAAACAAAGCAAATCGATGGCTCAACAGCTCAATCATTGTTATTTACCTTTTGCACAACCCTTATAGCCGACTTTGGCTCATATGATGAATTTCCAATCAATAGGGTTTCCGCTGGAGGAAGTCGAGCTTTCCATGAGCTTCTTTTGATGTCATTTAAAAATAGGCAATTGCCACGAGCTAATAAAAGATTCCCTTTATGATAATGGGGTTGGAAGGAGGAACAGGCGACGTCTAGACGAACGTCTGGGGGACACAGAACAGAGAAAGCACCTTGTGTACAGGGTGTCCCGTAAGTAGATAATCAAATAAATACCGGGACATTCTTTGCCTCAAAAGAAAACGATTTTACTTTATCATTATTAACAAAAATGTATGTGTGCTTACGGTACACCCTGTATAAACGTATCTTGGAAACACCGACCGGATGGGTTAGAAAGAAAATTTTGCTTACACATTTTGCAATTTGAACACTCATTCACAAATTTCACTAAGCTCAGTTCAAGCTAAAAAATTAGACATCACTCTTTCCAGCGTTCTGCAAGCGGGCGCCCCATCCTCCATTTTCTACCCATTAATCCTCGAAAAGTTCACTGCACTTTTACAAACTACCGAACTTGCCATAAGGTTAAGGATAATCAAATAAATACCGGGACATTCTTTGACTGAAAATAAAACAAAAAAAATTTGACTTCATTTTTATTAAGAAAAATGTCTGGGGCTCCTCTGCTATTAAGGTTCTTAAGGGATTACGCCAAAACTATCAGTGCAACAAGATTTTACAATGAGCACAAAAAGGCCAAAAAAGAATAGTGCGTCAACTCAAAAAAAAAATGGGTTGATTACAGCCACCAAATAAAAAGTTCTGGTCGTTTTTGGAGCGGAGTTTCCACAGTGGACGAACTCGGTTACTTTATCAAGATATGAGTTGTACATACGGACAAATTCACACCGAGGAAAAACATAATTTTGTTTTTCAATAACTTTGATCGAATAGTCATAGATGAATAGAAGAAAATCCAGACATGTTTTCTGAATAAACGAAATGTCAATTCGTCTTCATTTGACCCAAAGAATGTCCTTTGACCATGTGCTTACGGTACACCCTGTATAAATGCATCTTGGAAACACCGACCTGATGAGTTGGAAAGAAAATTTTGCTCGAGATTTGAAAAAACTATTGCGGGACACAATTTGTACCGCGTTTTTTGAAAAAAATTACGAAAAATACTAAGTTCAGCGTTGTGCGTTCAGTGAAGAAGAGTGCGCTCTTTAATGTCCTGAAAACTCTTCAAACCTTCAAAAATTCATTCAAATTACATGAAATCCTGGATTTAGCACGCTTCGTAAATGTTGATTTAAAAGTGAACGCTTTTACGCAATTGCCGACTCTTCAATAAAAAATTCCAACTTTCAAAATAATGTAGAATGTAGAAGATTCTGTGTGAGTTTTTGTGACAAATCTACTAGAATTTACTCACGCACGTTGTTATAACAATAAATTACCAATTCGCTATAAAATGACATAAAATTGAACTCCGAAAAGCCGCCCAAAATATTCCCAAAGTTTAAAAATTAACTACGAAAGAATCAACAGCTCAATTGATACCAAATCCACTCTACGAGTCAATTGATGAATATGGGACTAAAAGTTCTACATGTAGGTACATGGCAACCAGGGGCAAAGTAATGCTAAGCTTACCGAAAGATGTGAAGTGCCACCTGAAAAAAAAGAAGAAAATGTGTTCAGTAGAGCAGGAAATCTGCCCAAAGCCAAACTTATTTGAAATCAGCAAAGCAAAGAGAGAAAAGCATAAAGAATCCATAAAATTTCAGTTGCTTGGAAAACTAAACTCAGTTCAAGTTAAAAGATTTAATAGATCATTCTTACCAGCTTTCTGCAAGCTGGCACCCCATCCTCCATTTTCTACCCATTAATCCTCAAAACGTTCACTACACTTTTACGTTACGTACAAACCACAAACCGTGAATTGAAGATGAACCGTGAATATGAAGAATCACTTAAAAATGAAATTGTTGCTCAATTTCCGAGCGAAGATAGAAACCAACCAAAATTCAACTAATTAAAAGCTCTGATTTCAATTATTCCGCCACAAGCGCATTTCGAGGCGCGATGAGTTATAACTCACCAACTCACACTGGGGCATCAACTCAAAAGCGCTACTCAGTGTTACCCAGGCCTAGTATATACTGTGACTTTCCGCATTAAAAGTCGATTTCCACCGCCCATTCATAGCTACCACTCCATTATTGCCAAGTTTAATTAGCACTTAATGACCATTCAGTGGGTTTCTAATGGATTTTTCAAATTCAATTCAAACTCCGGAAAACGCGGGCTGCAGTTTACCCAAGCGAAGTTAAAGGCTCGTTTCAATTAACGTTTTCAACTTCTAAGCGGTATCTTCATTAATGAACTCGGCGGCTTAAAAGTTGGCAACAAAAGTCCTCCAAGCCTGAGTTAGGAGGTAGTTGCTTGAAATGAGTAATGATTATTTTCCAGATAGCGCCAAAACGCTTTGGCCGACTCTATCAGGGATTATGGGAAGGGTTTAATTGGTTTTTCTTGCGGGTTTCAATCCGTTTTACAGTTGGTTTAGAGCTTTTTTAGGTCTCTGGGTGTGGGTTAATTTGCGTCCATGAAATGCAGTTCACAAACAATGTTAAACTTTGAAGGAAATTGCAGAAGAATCCTTGAAAAAGCCACTGCCATTGTTAACAAAAACCATCTTTCAAGGTTCTCGATGTTAAGGACAACTTGGCTAATTTGTTGGATGGTCCTTGAAAACAATTTCCTGCATTTCGTTCGCTAATTGTTCGGTTTAATGACTTGTAAAGATGTGTAGAAGTGACGGTTTCCAACAGTCATTGAAGTGATTGTTCGTTTTCAAAGTGAAACCAGTTAGTATTCGGCCACCGATTAATCACCTAATCGTTTTTTGCTAATAAAACATTGGTCTGATTGATATCAACCATCATTGTCTTACTGGATCCGGGACAGTCAAATTAGCCGTTTAATGAAACGCCAGCCCCGGATTACTGTTTATTGACGCAAAGCGTTGTATCTCTTTATTAGAGGCGATTAAATTGTTAAATCGTTGGAGCTTCCAGGGAAACTGGGATTAACGAATTGAATTTGTTTCAGACTGAATTAAGCTCGCGGTTAAGACTGAGAAGAGGAAGAGGCGACACCAGCGAAGATGACGAAGGTCTTCCTCGCAGTCCACCATGTGGCTCACCAGCCGCCGCCACTGATTCGTATCTTATTCTCGAAAAGACTGTTAACAATAAAGTAAGTAAATTTTTGAAATGGTTTGCGAGATTACAGCGGCATTTGAATGAAGATTTAAGAAGACAACTTTCGCTCTCGGTTAGGCTCGCTAAGTTCAGAAGCCAATCGGAAAATCTGCCTAGCGATATCTGATTTGATAGTCACGAATCCAGCTGTTATGGAAATACCACGCAAATATCGCCAATTCATTAACAACAATAGAGGAATAACGACTGAGCTTAACATTGTCTCCATATGGTCGCCAATTAGTTTCCACCAAAGATGGAAAGTCTTTCATGTAATTGATAGAACCGTTTCCTCCAGCTGGTTAAAGACCATCAGTATGGAATCTCCGCAATTTCGCCGTTCAATTATTTATAAAAGCCTGGGCAGGAAATCGCGCGGTTTCCCTGCTCAGTTCAGGTGTTTTGGTTAACCAAATAATGGAATTTTAAATGATAACAATACAGTAAAACACGCAGAGGTTTCGAATAAATTTCACATAACGGTGAATTGACGCAAAGCAGAAGTTGTTGTTTCATTCACAATAGGCTGATAAGTAGGCAGCAGCTACAGTGTTTAAACAATTAGATACAGGTGGGTTCCCATTTTTCTGTCCTGGGAATTATGGCAAAAAACATCCACTGCCCACATACCAGCCGATAGATAAATGTTTGTAATTGTAATAATGGCGACTAAGGCAGGTTTATGCAACAGAAGTTAATTTCCTCTTAAGTCTGTGTCCCATGCATCCGTTTATACGATGGTACGATGATACGAAAGTGTTTCTATTGGTTGGAGATATCTGTCAATTCGTACTCCGTCGTACGAACTGACAGATGATACGATGGTACGAAAGTGTTTCTATTGGTTGGAGATCTGTCAGTTCATCCGTCGTCGTACGAATTGACAGATATCTCCAACCAATAGAAACACTTTCGTATCATCGTACCATCGTATAAACGGATGCATGGGACACAGGCTTTACTCACCTGTACTATTGTGTAATGTGAGTCGGTGAGTAAAAATGGTGAATTTAAGTGAAAAAAGTTTTCCCAGTTGAAATGAACGAATGCATTGCTCCCATGTTTAGTCATCCAACCAGGATACATTTTGAAAGTTTCTTAATTAGAGTTTCAACAATTACAAGCAAGTTGAATGACCATCTGATAAAACCGAAAGTTGACCACCAGCAATTACAGAGTGCATTTGAAAAAAAATGTAGCAACGCAACGATAATTAATTAGAAAAACTAATTGTTTTCAAATAGGTTTGCTGCACTTGTTTTGGTACAATAAGAACCAGCCAATTAAACAGGCTATTAGATTTTGTGCCGTCATTGTCTTCAGAATTCGCCGATTCGCGGGGAAACTATAGCATAGTTGTATATGTAGTTGGTTTGGGTTAGGGAAGTTGTTAAACTTGGGAATCATGTGAAGTTTTCTAAGCCGGGAAAAGCTGAATGTAGCATTTTCAACGGAAGAGAACCCGGAGTGCAAAGGCATAATTGAAAAAGACGTTTGATAATTTGGGGCCAAAGTAGTCGACGTTTTTGCCCCATTTTAAACGGAGATTCCATTCCAGTCCAAGCTTCACATTTTCTCGTACTTTTTTACTGAGAATATTCTCAATGACCTAAATTCTTTTGGGGCTCCTGAGCGCCAGTTTATTTAGCATTCTAGTGCAAACCTCCACTAGTTCCACCATAACCTCGTATTTCAAATTCAAATTCAAAATTTATTAAAAATATACAAGTAAACAGAAAATTATTTGTCAATTTACAATTCATATAGTGTAAAAATTATTTGTTGAGTACCAAGATACCTGGTACCTGTATGTACTCTTGAGGTTACAATTTTTTTTATATCAGTAATTATATTTTTATTTTCTGTCCTGGTTTAACAGAAATCCACATAGCATACCATGTATATTCTTACCTGAAACTAGCAACTTAAAACATTTTCCCGAGAACTCAACTTTTGAGAAAGTATCTGAACAAATGTGTTCCTGTGTGTAGTAATATATTATCTGGATTTTTTATTAAACAAATTGAAGCTATTTATTGATCTTATTATACTTGGCAATGAATTATACATTATTAAGATGAATTGTTCGATTATTTTTTTCAGGTAGAGCAAGAAAGTTGTTAGATATTTGTCTTGTGTTGTGGTTATGTTTTACATATGTTTGAGTATTTTTGTTCGTATGGGTAAATGAGCCTGCTGAATGTATGTATAGCAATGATATGTCGCTAATTTCTTTGTTAAACAAACTCTCTAGTAGGATATAGTTTGTCCTTTCTGTAAATTATTCTTAAAATACAATTTTGAACAACTTTTAATGGTCTTAAATTAGATTCATAAGCGCCTCCCCATATTATAAGGCCATATCTAAGCAATGATTCTACTAACGATTTGTATACTTGTATGAGTAGTTTTCTGTCCAAAAAATCTCGAAGAACATA